AAAAAGTTCTGGCAACACTGTTTAGGAGCATGACTGAGACAGTTAATATGATGAAATTTTTTCATACAGAGGCACGTACTTATTAGTCGTTGCCATTATGTTAATGTATGTAAAGGTCAAGCCGCATTGGAAGCCTTTAAGTCACGGTTTTCAAAAAATTATTCGTCGTTTCTTAAGGGTGTGCCAGATTTACAAACCTGAGTGACAGTTTGGTTCCAGTTTCTCCTTTTTGCGAGTGTTTCTACTAGATTCATTTTTCCAATGATCTGAACATATGCTGTGAGCACAAGATTGATGTTTGTGGCTCTTGTATGAGAAAACAATTTTTATCTAAAAAACTAAATTTGTACTATAGTTTTATTAATTTATTACAAGGTTTAATTATACTTATGGAAAAAGGTGTTTTTAGTTCCTTTATTCAGTGATCCCAAATAGCAAGATACTTCACTTGACTGACAAAAAAGTTTATTGGTTTATTTCATCTATAAGTTAAAAACAATTTAAACAAAAACTGGAAATAATGAACTAATGCACATAATAAATAAAGCATTTAATAAATTGCATAAAAAAGGAACAGTCGAGCGCCTTCGTCTTGGTCTGCAGGCTGTATCGGAGACACAGCCGCTAAATTTAAACGTAGAATACGGGGTATGGTTAAGAGCACATCCCAGTCAAAAACGAATGCACATACTATGAATAAAATATCGATAACAAAAGCGATAATAATATCGAAAGTGAAATCTATAAAAATATCGATAACAAAATTGATAATAAAATCGATAAAGATATCAATAACAAAATCGATACAAGTATCGATAACAAAATCGATAAAAATATCGATAACAAAATCGATAAAAATACCAATAACAAAATATATTACCAAATCAATAAAAAAATCGATCACAAAATCGATAAAAAAATATCGTTTATTATATCGATAAGTTCCGAAAATTTCGATAGCTAAATCAATAACAATATCGAAAAAAATTTCGATAATAAAATCTATAAAAAATATCGATAAGCAAACCGATAAAATATCGATAAGCAAACCGATAAAATATCGATTATTATATCGATAAGTGCCGACAATTCCGAAATTCTCTAAAATCCCCAAATAGTCCCCAAATTAAGTCTCTGTCTATATCCTCTTCTCTATAATAACCTTTATTTTAGTCTTTCATCCTTTAACTGAATCTTTACTTTTATCGGTATCCTCATCCTCATATTTTTCTTTACAATTATCTTTATTTTTACTTTTATGTTTATCATATTCGTCATTTACATATTCCCTTTCACCTTTGCCTTTTATAAATATTGCGCCATCTGTTATTCAAAAGCAGAAATACCTACACACACATACCTTTTGTCTCCTTCTCTCACTTCCAGCGCAGGCACGTGTTTGCAAAATGATGACGAAGTGATTTTGTATAGAAAAGCATTTATGCCCATACATTTGAATAAAATAAAAATACTTAGAAGATATCAACCAATACTTTCCACATAATAAACGAACCTGAGTTTTTGACTTAAGAAAACAAAAAGAAAATCATTCGAGCGGTTTTCGAGCATTTTGGTATTTATTAAAAAAAAAAATTGGAAATTCTTTCAACAATTTTTTTTCTTTAAATGCTCGGTATTTGTTAAGTTGCTCCAAGGAACCTACATCCCGAAAATTAAAGTTTTATCTGCCAATCATAAGTTGGTAGAGCACTTCAGAGGCTCATACTTGACCTGAAAATAAGCCAATATTTACCGTTGTTTCTACGACAGCTTACATAAATATATCTGTCGATAGGAATGAAGTTTTATCTTTGAAACGCCCCTCCCATTTTTTTGAAATCGCTTTCCTAGTTCTCGTGCATTAAGAGTTTTCGTGAAGCTCTAAAAATTACAACTACAACATTTGAGCATAGGCTCCATATCGAAACGTAAGACGTATTCTACGTCAAAACCAGGAATTTATTTTTCGTCGGAAGCACTGCAGAACATCAAAATAGGCTTCGTCAAATCGGCGAACCAGGGCCTTAGCGTATTTAAAATAAGAAGTGACTTCTAGGGTTAAAGGACCCATGAGTTATTGCAAGCATACTTTGATTTTATGCACAGATAATAAGGAATTCGTTCGTAAAAATCTGTGCGCGAGCCACTGTTAATTCGACCTTCAAAACGATATAAGTCTTTAAAACCACGAATAAGAAAAGGAGGGGCAGGGTCTTGTAATGTTTAGCATCCTTTACATGCGCCACATCTGTAATCGCACTGATAATCGGACGATACAATATTTCCGGATGAATCTGGTACTGACCTAACTCATATTTTTTTAAATATTTATATATTTTTTATTTAAAGTAAAAGATATTCTACTAAAATCAGTAGGCGTCCAATAGTGTAACGCTTAAATTGTTGTTATAATTGGTAATATTAGTTTTATCAAAAAATGTAGATTCGTGGCTAAAGCAGAAATGGAACGGGACGATATGTAGTTTCAGGTCAAAACAAATAGCTGAAAATGTTGTTTTAATCGCTCACCAAAACGCACAGCACTCAAAAGCCGCTCAACCAACTAAAAAACAAACAAGCGACCATACTCGTTGGAATGACAAATTCATATATACATACTTATATATTTGTAAATATCGTGGCCCTAATAAATAATTTTATTACACATTTTTAGTATAAAACAAAAACACACATAATTTATTTAGTAAAAATAATAAATACACATTTGTGCATTCATAATTTGACAAAGCGTGCACAGCCGGTTTTGACAGCTGAGATTAAGCGCCAAAACGACACCGAGGAACGCACGTACGCGACGAAATGTAAAACGACACCACAAGTAAACCACTCGCCGAAGTAATCAATTAAAGTCAGACAAAAATCGGCGACTATTGGCAATGGATTAGTAGGAATAGAAAAATTTACTTGAATAGCGAAGGTAAGAAAGAACACGCAATTGTGCGTGTCAAAATTAATTTCTGGGTTTTTCTTTCTTCTCTGACTTTTGAAGCTTGATACACCAAATCCTATTAGCTGCCATGACGCAAAAACGGCAAATTAATATTAAAAACTACTACGTACCCAATAAACATTTGGCTTGGTTAAAAAATTCGAAAGTGATGGGAAAACGAATATTTTTTCGATTGCCACCGTCGACAACGAATGTGGCATAGGAACGTTAGTTATGCAATGTATTTCCCCTTCGATATGAATTCCAAATACAGTCCATTATCGAATTGAAATTCTAATAAGAGAGAGTGATTATCTTATATTTGCCTTCGAAAATGAGCTGGATTCCACTTTCTTTCTTGTTACTATGGTTTTCATTTCTTTTTTTTTTTTTTGAACCCCATCTCGAGTGTATTTCCAATATACTATGAAAAGTGGAAAACTAAGGTTAGTTATGAGTCCGTTCTCAGTTCGATATGCATATTGGATATCGAAGGTCATTTCGAACGTTTGCCACAATGTTTGTTGGGTATCTATGCATGTATGTATTTACAAATGTACTCATGTAATTATGAGCATCATCTGAAAAATTTTCTACATATCTATGCAGGTATATATATAAGGCAGTCCTTAAAATATTAACATCTAAATTTTGTCAGTTAACTCTTCGTCAGGCAGAGGGGTCTGGCCAGAACTTTTTCTATTTGACTTGTAAAATAAACGTATGTATATGTATATGAGATAGCGGCTTGACATTTTTTTTATTTTCCTAAAATTGGATTAGCTATTCTCAAAACAGGAAATTAGAATCATAAAAACAATACAAGTATATTTATAAGGAAGTTTTGCTGTTAACATCACATCCACACCTAATGAGTCAACCCAGACCCCTATATTACACCGCCCTTCAGTCAACTAGGGAATAAATATAGTAACTCTGTGGGTTTTTAGTTTTTCTATCGCACGTCAAGATTTTTTTAAAGGACTTTGAAATTTCATGAAAATTAATAATTTAAAAAAATATTGAAAAAAATTAAGTGTAATGTAGAATAACAGCAGGGTACCAAATGAGAAAATTCTGTGGAATTGAGCAATCTTATTTTTTTGGTGAATCAGGATGAATGATAATTTGAAAAAGGCATTTTAAAACTTTATACTTAAAGATCCTCGAAATTTCCCCACAGTTATTTATGAAAAATAAAAATAAAAATTATTTTAAGGATTAATATTTATACTTTCTATCAGATTTTGATAAAAAAAAATTTAATTACTTTTTCAGATCCTATTAGCGTCGTGGAAAACATATTAAATATTTGATTATTATATCTATGCACATTAGAACAACACTGAATTTTATGTAACTGATCAAAAATAAATAGCAATTAATAAAAAAAAAAAACAAGACTGAATGGTATAAAAACGCATTTAAATGTATCCACATTTACCTGTAAACACATAATAAACATATGAAGGTCTGGAAAGACCTAATTATGTACGAAAGTGACTAAAAAGGTGTTCGTCTAACGGGGGTTAATAGTCATCCACAATTTCAAACAAATTTTTAGTTTCACAAAATTTTGACCTTGACCAGCTATAACTCAGCGTAATAATTTTGCCGAATTTCGGAACTTCAAGAAATTAAATCTCTTTAAACTTTTGATATTTTCGCGGATGTCTTTATTTATACGTAGACCAAAAAGGCCTGCTAAACGATGTGTAATTTTATGGACCACCCTGATATTGACAAATAACGTCATCAACAATACAAAGGCCTTACGTACATATATTAGAAACTAAAATTTTGCCTATAATGATTAAATAGTTGGCTGCTCCATATCCACAAAATAATCGTATTTTTAACATTTAGTTTCGAATTTTGATTGCAAACTACATATTATGATTTTGATACAAAAAAAAAAACATCGTTTAGGAGTTTTTGCATTGATTATGGCGACATGTGCTTATGTATATTTGTGTAAATAAATAAATATTTTCATAAGCTTCAAAATATCTATTTAATAAAATGATTTGAGGATCATTATAACACTCACCTTCAATAACTATCCGATCCTTGCTTCGCTTTTGTATAAGTTTGTAATGAAACGACCGACTAGCAAATATCTCGCAAAACCACTTTGCGCATCCGCAGAGAAGTAAACAACAACTTAAGTTTTAACTAAGTTTTACTTTATTTTTCCGTTGGACAAGTCTGACCATTCTAGTACCACTTTTTAGCTGCCTATATAATTAGGCACATGCACCCGTACATACATACATATACATTCGTATGTATGTATGTATGTATATTTCTAACAGTCAATCGCTTGTGCTCACTTGGCCAGCACTTAACCGGACTTAGCGCTTAATACTGAATTCTAAATAGCAATTTGCATTAATTTCAGCTGGAATCGATGCTTACAACTCTACAGTATTCGACTAGTTCATCCGCAAGCAGAAGCAACTAAAAATTAAGAGCGAATGGCAGCATGAGTGGAATGTTAAATGAACTCGTAATGTGTGATTATATATCTACGGATTTAAGCGTAGTAAGGCTAATGAATTAATTGACAGCGGAGTTGGTCAGTCATTTTAAGATTTTTTATTCATTCATAGTACAAATGTGTTAGCTTTTTTAGAAATTTTTTATTTATTTTTTTTAATGCATTGCAATTCCAATTGTGTGTAGGAATGTATGTATGTATGCGTGCATTTTTGCCGCTTTGTTTACTTCATTTTGATTTTATTATATGGACAACATTTTTATGACGCTCAGTTTTGTCGATTTCATTATTACCTAAATGTAGTTGGCGGAACTTGGCTAGTTAAGCCACAGTTAAGCTGCTGCTAAGCACTACTTACTTACACCTAGCTAAGTTGTCGTTAAGTACAGTGGTAGTTTTAGCTTTTTTTTGGTATTTATCTAAATACGTAAACTTTCGGTGGGCATCATTCGTAGCTAGTGAGCTTCGAGTAATAAAAATAATAAAGTATCAGCAATCACGTATTGTGTCAGGCTGGCAACTACTGCACGTGGCTTTTGTATATTAAACTAACCTAAGGAAAAATTATTTATGTTATAAACTTGCGGAAAATAACTTAATGACTGGTATTATTTAAATATTGCAGTTAGTTGAAGTTTTCAAAAGATTGGTTTCATTGGTTCCATCCAGAGTCATTACCATATTTGGAACTAACCAGGTACCAGGTTTACCGGGCTTTGCTCGCCGTGCATATACTTTTTAAAGTTTTAAAATTTTCGATATCAAATAACGGTTATTTCTATAGCTTGAGAAAAAATATTTTGGAAGCAAATTTGAAAATATCTTTCTTATAATATCTAATAAACCCAAATTCTTAAAACAAAAATCAGGCGGCGAAGAGTACATATCTTGAGCGTATATGAGCATATCTTACAAGCTGTTACATTTTTCAACAAAAAAATTTTTTTTTTTTGCATAAAGAACACGATTTCACTGTGAAATTGTATTTAAATGAAAACCTAAAAAGATATACACAAAAAAAAGTCAGAATAACAGCTCGTACTCTTATACCTGTACTTGCGTATGTAACGTATACGCCCCGTAGCACCATACACAGCCATCTAACATGTTTACTCGCACGCAATAATTTGAAAGCCATTTTTTTTTGAAAAGTAATTAAATATGGCCGTGGAATATTTTCCTACAGCATTCTTTACGAATATATAGGATATTAATTTCTTAATGTAACTATACTACAATTTCAAAATGAATTTTAATTGCGCCAATAAAAATTTTTAAATTGGAATTTTCGTTTCGCAAATCATCGTCATCTTATCATCAATGTAATTCTTTTTCATTTGGTGGCAAACTAATTTTATTATTCTAGATTGGTTCGTTTTGGCAAAAAGAATGTTATCACCGTTTAGACAATGCAACATGTTGAAGTATTTTAAACTTTTAAAATAGAAAAATCTTTACATTTTAAAAATTACAAAATAGCATGCTGCTATTTTTTAAATTACGTGGCACACTTTTTAAACTTTCAGTGATATGTTGTATTTTGGTGCCAACTTTCATTGCCTCCACGTGAACACATCTATCATTCTATCCAAAGCTGTTACAAAAAAAAAACAATTATAATTTTGAGTGATAATAAAAAAATAAGCGATTTCCGTAGTTTTGCGCCTAAATAATCTTTCAAAGTCTAAAGTGTTTAGATACTGGATTTATTTTTTCTTAACTTATTTGCAACTCTATTGATTGAAATAAATGCAAGAAGAATGCTTTAGCGCTTTTTTTCTGACGAACTCAAAAATGCCTTTCATTTGACATCCATGCTGTGTTAGTTTAGTTTACTTTTGCTCAATCAAAAATTATCTTAATATACGATTCGAAATAGGTGGCAATTCTATTTCAAAACATTTCGGGACTGTGGATTTTTAAATACTTCCATTTAGTGGCAACCTTATACGGGTATTGCGGAGCTAGTACCTATTTGGGTATCCTTCAATTAAAAAGTATTATCTATATACAAGATTTTAACAATATCGTTAGAGCCGTCTTCGAGAATCCTGTGAATATATATCGAGTTCTAACCACCAAAATAACGTAACCGATATTTTTTTTTAATTTTCGTTTTGATGCAGAAATGCATCTAGATGCTTTGGGAATAATTCCGCATCAAAAAGGAAACTCTTAAGAAAATGTCGCTTACATTATTTTGTCGGCTGGGGCTCGATATATTCATATATGTATGTACATATACTTATATTTATATATGCACAGTAATTGTTCGTTTAATGTAATAAGAAAAAAATAAATTATTACATAAAACTATTTCTTGAACATATTTGTCGATAAAGGTATTAACTTAGAACCTATAAAAAATATGCTCTAATGGAGAGCTTCTCGTCCGATTTGTGGTGTGCGCCTTCATATTATAACTCAAATGTAGGGGCCTACACTTTTACAACGCCTCCGGACGGCAATTCATTTTATGAGAAGCTTTGTCAAGGCAGAACTACACTCGGAGTTTTGACTTTGCCTGCCGAGGAACGGCCGCGGTTTGGAGAAAAACTTTTTCTAGATTTTTTTTTTTAAGATTTTGCATATAAAGTCCAATAAGTTAATTTTTATTAAGCGCAATAGCGGACGTTACTTGTATTATAAAAACTGCGGCATGACACATTTCGAGGAAAATTCCTATATTATGGAGTCCAATTACAGCATCGGCTGCAATTTTAATACGCAAAATTTCCGAAATCAGCAGCCGCAGGTGACCGCTTATATCCGCCAAAAGTGGCTGTTTTCACGTCTATTCCGAAATTTTGTTTTTGCTGTGCAATTCTAGATACCTGGGTAACGTTTTAACATTCTCAGCTATTTATTTGTAAAGTTTTGTAGTTATTGTGGTGTTGTATAGAAATTAACATCGATCCTAAAATACATCGCCAGAAAAACATCGATATATCGATCGTTTCCGATGTTTCGCAATTTGTTTGGTTCTAGTCACATTTAAAAGAAAATTAATTACTTTTTCCTCCAAACCAATGCAGCCTCTGTAATAAGAGAAATACATACATATGGATGTATTTTCCTTTATTTAATTAGCCTTCCTTAACCCTTCCTTTGAATTGAGTAAAAAAGCATACCGTCATAAGATTTCTGGGGCCTAAATATCTAAGGTCTGATTTTGTTGAAATATTTGTTTAATCATTAGGTTAGCACGCCTAAAATTGAAAGCTAAATTTGAAATTTCTGAATGTTCTCCAAGAATGAGTAGCCCTATTTAAAACATCGTTGAAACAGACATAGACGCACTGTCATTTTAGCGATGTTAGAAAATCGGAAACATTGACAAAGGCATTTAAAACTCATCGAAAATTTGTTTTTCATATTTCAGCCAATTAGCATAGCGTAAATACATTATCGAATTTTATATTTTATTTACATGCATACATACATATTTCGCTCCCAATTTTTCTACTATTATATATATTTGCATACTGCTTTACTACTACAAACTACAAAAAAAAAGTATTATAGTTTTTACAAAAGAAAATATTTACGAGTTGAGTAGATAGTTGGGAAAGTTAATTTTCCAACTTTATAAACTACGGCTAACGAACACCAAAAGCGAGCGTCGACTAGCCAAAGTCAACAAACACGAATAGGGAATATGGAAACTATTTGGTATAACGAAACATAAAAGTCGAAAGAAAAAGAGACGACCTCCACGAAGCAAACAAGCGAAAAACTGCTTAAAAATTTCTCTCATATAATTTTGCACAAAACTTTGCACAATGTTTACGATATTTTTTTTTTAGTTTCACAAGTGTTGTTGTTTGCTTTTTATTTTTTTCGTTTGGATGTTTGTTTACTTTTTTAGTTTACAAGCGAATCCTAGGCATTCAATTTTAAAGCGTCCTGTCCCTTCGGGTACATGTAGTGATTGCTTCGGAAGCACTCCGCGCCATATTTACGGTTGGTGCGTTATTACATGCATATGTATAAATGTGCATTAATGTGCGCCTTATTTTTCAACTTTGACCGAAAAAAAAAGATTCGCACCTAGAAAAGTTTGTTTGGTTAAAAGAATGTTTGGTCTGCGAAAGAAAATAATAAAAATTGGAAAAAATTGCCCTCATGGCCGGATGTTGCGCAAATTCATGAAATTTTTATTGCCTATAAATCAGCGCGAAGTTATATATATTTTTTTAAATTGTCGCAGCATATCTTTTTATGACCAATCAATATTGCCATATTCACAATTTTAACAGGAGTCGATGAAAGAGCAGCATTTCCTCATCTGGAACAAATTTTTTCAGCTGTACTTTGCATTCCAGTCGCCACAGCTAATGTGGAGACAAATCAATTTAAATAAAACAAAAATGAAGTCGAGCGTCGAGCACTCTTTGGTATTTTTAGAACTAGGAATTTCTTAAAAGAAATACATCAAGAGGTATCCAGTCAAATGCTAAAAAATTCAACAAGGTAAGCTACAAAAAACAGTGCAACTAAATTTCATTAAACCAACAAAATTTTATTTAAAAAATCCATTTTATAAAGTCCATTTTATTTGTTCAATTAGGTATAATTCAAAAGGTTTATGTTATTTTATTTAAAACGAATCTTTTTTGATTTATGTTCAATAAAAATAAAAAAACGTGATTTTTCTAAAACTTTTCGTTTTAGAAGCTTATAGTTTTATGGTCGAAGGTACAGTTTTTTCCGGAAATTTACAATAAAAAAAAAAATAAAAAAAGCTCTGGCAAAACTCTGACCAATCAAACCTAATTAAAGGGGTCTTGTTTTGTAGCTTAAAAGAATTGTTTCCATACAAATACGACGCACACTAATGTACATTTATCTGCTAGTAAAGTCGTTAAGTAAGAGAAAATTTGCATAAGTAACTTATGCAAAAGCATATTATCTTCCGAAAATATAAACAAACTTTTGATGCACGCATCTTGAGTCACATTTTATGTTATATCAAAAACTATAAAAAATCTAAACTTAAAAAAGCAAAACCCAATTTTGAGATAGTTAAATCTTTACGCAAAAAATGGCATGCAAAATAAGAAAAGCGTTATTTACCGCCGTATCACGCTGACAAATATCATTAAAATCCTCTAACAAATTGCCCAGCGCGGAAACCTAATCAACAACAATTGCGGCAGCACAGAGTAAATTATGGTTAACTTTATAAGGGTGAGCTATGTACAGTCTGAGCACCATAACGTCAATTGATTTATAAGCCACGTGCCAGACGTCCTCTCCACTGAGTTTGATGGCAGACTATGCGGGCTTGCCAAGCTTATGAGTGCCGTAAAAGTAAAAATATAAACGAGTGGTGGGCTGGAGGTAGAACAGTCCGCTCGCTTATTCTGCTTTACATGCTAGCCCACACACACGTACCTATACAATATAAAGGACCTTTACCATAGTCACATTCATTTTGAGACTTTTAGAAATACATAAATGTATGTATGTACATATGTATGTAAGAGTATAAGCTTTTTGCCAAACGTTTTCGATTTTTTCCTTATGGTGCTTAGTTTTTGTTTTTTGTTTTATCTTCTTCCTGCATTCTTTTATGCCATAAACTTCAATTACGAAACGAAAATAAGCGAGAACGAACGACTTTATTCTGCAGAGTCGCCGAGAAAAGAAGCAGAACGAAATGGCAGTCTCGATGAGCCGATCAGCTCACTAGTCGACTAGCATATTTTTTATAAGTTTTATTGTTTTTATTATAGGCTGAGGTAGGGTTGCCAACCCAACTATAATATATAATATTGTCTTGTTTTTCCGATCGGCGTACTATATACTGTTAGAAAAAAAATATAGTACGCAATAATACTATATTTCTTCAATTATAAATATCAATATATTTCAGTAATTTGTACGAAAAATGTGAATTAAAATGGATGTCCTTTATACTGAAATAACAATATAAAATGAAATATTCTTTAAAGTAAAAGGTCATTGTGAGGTTATAATAAAAAAAGATAAAATATTTTTAAAGCACCGAGAAAGAATAAAAAAAAATTACTTAAAATTATTTCATTTCTACTCTCTATTCCAACAACCTCGGCATTCTCAGGAAGAACTGTTTCCATCACTTAAAAATCGTTTTTAGTTTTTCTTTTAAATAAAACTCTATATATATTCCAAGTTTACTATATTTTTTCCATTTTTTTTGCAAAAGTACTCTAAATATCTTCGAAAATGTTGGCACCCCAAGCCTGAGGTTGCTTTTTACGTTGTTATACCTTTCCTCGGGCACTGGTTCTTGTGCTTACGCTCGAATTTTTTTGGCTTGCTTTGATAATATTTTTGCCTTCAATGAATTTGCAAATTCTCTTGTAATTTCAACAGCAGTTTTGTTCCAATGCGTTTAATAATACTTCAGTGCTCTTTTTTATTCGTTTATTCATGTGTTTAATTTAAAAAGAGTCTTTTCGTATGCAGAGAACATTAAAATAGTCAATATTTAAATAATGGGAAAATTATACTTATACATGATTTTCATAAGAAGTCATTTCATAAGAAACCCATCAAACAATTTTTGTTTCCGGCAGAAAGAAAACGTCTCGCTCTCAGAAACAAATTGATTGCCGGTAATAAAACTTCCCCCGAAGGCAACTTGCCTGAATGAGTCGTTTTCTTATTACCATTGCCATGGGAGCTTTGCCATTGTCTTCCTATTAGAAAAACACTTTTTCATGTTTATATTTGTTGATGTTGGTCGGATGCTGGGCTTGAACCCAGGACCTGTGAAACGGTATATGTCTTAGATAAAAGTTATCGAAAAATTTTATTTATAAAAGTAATAAATATAATTTATTTTTTAAATCATACTTATAAAAGTCATTTGTATAAGTCGTAGTAAACTTTTGTTTCCCAAAACCTTATTAACTGAGAAAAATGTTAATTATTTTTATACGAATGATTTAAAAAGTAAAAGTCACTGACTGATTTTTATCGATGACATTTTTATATGAAAGTCTTCAATAACTGTTTTCTGGGACATATAATATAAAATACAAAAATGATTGTAATTTTGGATTTATAATATAAAAATCAAAAATTTATATTTTTTTTTAATTTTGCATAAAAAGTGCAAATAAAAATTAATTTTCAAATTTGAGTTTCGGTGAAAATAGTAATCGATTGGTATGTATCACTAGTTCAGGTACTAGTTTTTGCCATACATATAACTTTGTTATGCAAGCAGCTAAAACCATTAAATTGTATTACCGGTTTACATATCAATTATACACAGTAGCTGCATTGATCATTTAGATCGGTGCTTTATAAGGTATATCTTTCATGCCACTGATTTGAACTAGACATGAGTGTTTTTTTTAATGCACTAACCGGTTGAAGTAAAGTTTTCTGATGTGCATGGAAGGTATGAAGCCTCTCGACACTGTCCTTGCTTGTTTAGATATCATAGTGGGCAGTTTGCAAAAAAAAATAAATTCAGTTAAAAATTATAATAAAGAAAAATAAAAAAATGTATTAAAAAATGGTGAGAATTTCTTCATTGGTACATAAATATGCAAGGCTCAAAAATCAACGTTAGCGCTCCTGAGTTAAGCAAACTATCCAGAAGCTGATTTTCACTAGCTTTTTGTAAAAAAAGGCCTCACATGCAAACACGTTTTGCCAATTTAGAATTTTTACAGATTACAGATACAGATTTCTTTCTAACTAATGAAAAATAGGCCCAAATCACGGCAGTAGAGAACGAAAGCAACTCGGTACGAATTTTCATTTTGAAATACTAGAGAGCGTGTCAGATGTAACAATGACATATGTTTCGAAAAGGCAGTCAAATTGCAAAATTACAGAGAGCACTTTTTGGCTGTTCAGATAGCAAATGAATTTCTGACAATCCTTAACGATACTGAAATGCAACCGTGAGCCGCTTTGCTGGTTGTTTGTTATTTCTCTGTTTTATAATTAACATTATTTTCAATTAGAAGATTAATTTATTATTTAGAACTGAACAAATAAATTCCGAAAAATAGTTACTTAAATGCATTTCTGATATTTTATTTACATTATTCGTTATTATTTCTCACAAGCTCATGATCAGTGTCACACGGCAACACTCGAATAATTAGACAACACTTACAGCAGAAATAGAATATTTCCGAAAACGATTTTTGGTCTTTCAATTGCAATCACACCTTCAACTTTAATTTCTGAAACTGGGCTCGAATCGTAACATCCGTTCACGGATCGAAAACCATACAAAGAAAATTACGTCATATGTCAGCCGTCTAAACTGAATGGGATAAAAAGTACGTGCATGTATGTCACGAGTAATACGCTTCTGAAATAAATTGTATTGAAAAGAATTAGCTTTACTTCATTTGATTCGATTTGAAACGTGTAATAACCAGTCGATCATGAAGACTGGCTTTGATTCCAGAGTTATTCTCTTCATATCTTTATACATACATACATACATATTAGAGTAAAATATTTAACTGAAAACACTTTAAATGCAATGAACATGCTTATGAGCATTTTTCAGTTGGGACACATATGTAGGCACATGCATATGTACATACGTATGTGTGTACTGAAGCTTTGTTTACCTAAACATAATTTTGTGTTTCCCTCGTTAGGGATGTCATTAATGTCAATATCTGACATTTCTTGCCAAACATTGGATTTGCTCACCGAAGCTTTTAGCTCAAGCCTTATGCATTTCGTCCTGAAATATTTCTAATACGATTGCTTTTTAAATAAGAGAACCGTTTTTAAATAAGAGTGTTTTTACTCTCTACTAAATAATTTATGCAACCTCACATACGCAGTTTTGCATTATCTTGTTAAGCGGTTTTGTACTTTAAACATTGATAAGTTTCCTAATGTTGCTTGCTATCCTTATTTCGTGGACTTTTGCCATGAATAAGGTTTCCGGCTGATGAATGCTATTCATTTTTTTCTTCTTATTTCGACCCACATGTATGTACATATGTATGTATGTTAATGCGCTAATTTACTTTATATCAATTTATACAAATTAAAGTTGTCATCATTTCTTAATGTAGAAATTACAAGCATATTGATATACATATTTACGTACACATAAACTGATATCACCTTTGTACTAATGCACTTATGCCAAACCAATACAATAGATAAGACACAGACCTGCCGCAATAAAATTTCTGGCACGATGACCTTCTATTGACTAATCTCATTCCACTCAACTGCCGCTTCAATCATTTTGCATTGCGGTCCGTTATATTATTTGCAGCACCGTAGACAGAAGGGAAACGGAAATCGTCTACTCTTACCGACACAAATGCAAACACAGAAATATACCTACACACACACACACGTTTCCTTCTAACGATTTTCGCACTTGCTTATCGTTACACAAAAAAAATATATAAAATTTTGTATTGTGCACTTTTGTATATTTTGTATATTCTGTAATAAGTATGTGGCACTTTTTTTGGTATTGGTTTTTATTTATGTTGCATCAATTTGCGTAAATCTCTTTCGCAGCACCCAAACGTTTACGCTTTTGTTGAAAATATTTCATGCGTATCAAAATACCGGAATACATACTCACTAAGAAATGTCAAATCAACCGCAAATACCACACGCCATTACCGCGTCTTGCATTGAAGTTTACGTCGAATTTTTCTCGACTTTTTAAATCACACATACAATGCACCTCTACGAAAATGGTTGTTCGACTCGTTCTATTTGAAATAACGTTTACTCACAACGCTATTGCATATTATTTTTTGGTCAACAATATGTATGGCTAACAAACAAATTCACAATAAATATGAGTAATTCCTCAAAACACCAGATTCATCATTCACATTCACTGTTTTTATTCGATATTCGTATGTGCGCGCATTACGTATTTCACCCGTGTAAAGCGTGTGCACCGTATTGAGCTCGCGATTCTACTAAATGACCGAATTCACATCGCGCTCGCTGCCTTCGTTTTGGGAGCCAGCGCCAACAATCAACCAACCAAGCAAGCAAAGCAAGCCAATCCACCAATATGCAGCACCAAGCAGCAAACCGGCCAACCAACGACCCAACGAAACAACATCGGTGCGCGCTCAATTGCCGCCTTGCATTTGCTGGAGCAACAACGAACGGACGAGAAGCAGTGTTGCAGAGACGACCACATGTTAATCGTCGAATATTTTCCAAAAATGTATGTACGTGCGATTTGGTACTCTGTGTCTTCTTCTTCTTCTTTTGTCCATGCCACAGCTTGCTGGATGGAGCTGCTTATTCTTCTTGTTCTTCTGATACACCACTTGCAATGTTACCTACATTTCTTAAATGCAGCAGCAAAGAAGGTTTGTTGTCCACTTACATACATATGTATGTGGGAGCACCCGAATGGCACGTGGGGTTTTGGCGCTCACACATACATTGACAATACACAAGCTAGAGAGGGAGAGCGCGCTTACTCTCCAACTCTTCGAAATTAACAATCTGTTATGAGCTCCCACAGAAATTTCGAAATTGGATGCAACTCCAATGCAAGACATTCATTTTCATAAGCGTTGTATGAATGTACATATGTCTTGAGTTGGCTGCTAATAACAGAGTTTTCGAAAATGTTGCTGAAATTTTTCGCCGAAATTTCTCTTTGGATTGTCGACTATGTAAAATAACTTGATATCTAATGCTCTGTACTGCTTACAGAGTATTCGAAACTGCCTTTGAAATATCGTAGATATTAGCACACCTGTTAGCGAAACAAGGAAACTTCGAAATTTCAAATTTGATAAAAATACATTCATATATATACACATCTTGTTATATTAAACAAGAAATTCTTGTATATAAATATATATATATATACAAGGCTGCATCATTCCTCATACAAAAAAAAGTGGTACTGTATTTCCATTAAAATTATAAAATCTATTATATTTTAAGATTTAAACGAGCTGGACCGATTTGAAACTATCTCCAAAAATGGCGTTTTTTATGAATAAAAATACTTTCTTAAAGCTGTTTTTTGGAAAAATCCCCTCAAATGACAAAACGGTTTAAGCTTAAAAAATTTACATAAAAATATTAAAAAAAAAAATTAAATAAAATTTTGAACGGAATCGTAATACTGAGATTTTTGATGCGTTTTTTTTAACTCTTCAGGGATTGGTATAAAAAGATCTTATATCTTATATATAAGAAGATATAAGGTTTTTGGAAACGATTTTGATGAAATTTTGCACACAGATGATGTTTTGCATTTTAATGTTATCTAAACAGGTATTATCTCCGAGAGAACTCGTATAAGGTTGCCACCTATTCAAAATTAGTTAAAAATTAATTAAAACATCACAATATGGATATCAAATGGAAGGTATTTTGAAAATCCCTTATTAAAAAAAAAAAAATTAATAGGGTTGTCACTAGGGACGTAAGTTTTTTCGATTTTTGCGATCCCGGGATTTTCGGAATCTGGTTTATATAATTCCGGGATCACGGGGTTAGTCCCGGGATTTAGATATTCATTATATTTTAACAACTTAGCACGAAAAAATTGCATCAATATAGTTTAGTAGAGTTCTCCCACCATATAATAAATAATAAATAAATGGGTTTAAAACGTACTTTTTTATTTAAAACCAAAAAATTAAGTCAAAAAATCTATTGTGTGTTTGAAAGAAGTTCACAATAGTAGTGGCAGAAATAAAAGAAACGTATTATTTCAACCAGTTGCGTCTATATTTCTTTTGTTTATTTAATATTTAAATTCGTTATAAAACTTTACCTCATTATACCAAAATTTGTACAAAAATTTTGAAAATGCACAAAAAAATCAACATTTCAAACTTTTTACTCCTAATTTTTAGGTACACAGTTTTAGAGCCCATTCAATTGTAGTAGGATGAAATGCAAGTTTCAAGCAACTACAAAATACCCTTAATTTTTGGAGATTTTTTTACGATCTCGTAATTTTCTCCAATGTAAATGAATTGTCGAACCTAATTGGTAAGGAATAAAATTCGTGACACCCTCAGAAAAAAATATAATAAATCAATGGTATTTATAGCCACTTTAAATCCTGTACACTTTATCGTCCTGTATATTAATAGGGTAGAAAATTCCTTACCTAGAATTCTGAGTAAAAAGTTTCAAAACACCTCAAGCAATCTATGTACTCACGGCACTATGGGCCAAGTAAAGTAAAACTGCGTTTTTAGTTTCAACATTTACTTTACGGACTTTATAATTTGAAAGATATGATAAATTCCAAAAATTATTTTAAAAATTCAGTGCAATGTAAAATAAAAATGGGTACCAAATGAAAGAGAAAATTCTGTACAATTTAATTACACGTGTACAAGTTGATATGTATAAATTCCAGGTAGCAGCTTTTAAATGTACTCCACACGGTACTCCAAGTAAAATGCTATATCAGTTTGCAGTAGTTCGATGAACTGAAAAAAGTAAGGTAATAAATACAAATTAATACGCCAAACGGATGAGTGTCCAAAAAAAAAAATTAGTTGAATAAGTCAGTGAAATCAGTTCAGTGGTCATGTAGAAAACTGGAGGATATTGGAAAAATGGGTGTGGCATCTATTCCATCTAGACATATAATAAAATTGTAACAGGACGATGTCTGTATTTTATAGATATTAAAGGCATATTTATATTAGGGCCTTTTTAAAATAAGCTAAATAAACAATTTTTACAATGGCTAATATGCGCAAGCAAGTAGATTAAGTAATTCATCTTTCGTACGGTACTGTCATCGGGTTCTGAGCCAGGTCTGAAATTTAAATCCCTACGTCTAATAAATCTTATAAAATTACGTCAAACAGTCGACGAACATCAAAACCAGAAAAAAAAATTAAAGTAAAAATGTTTGCGATAAAAACACAAAATTGTCCACTTATGAGAGCTTTTAATCATAAATAGACTCACGACATCACTCACGCACAAGCGATTTTTCTTTCATTCACCATTGTCAGACTATCCAGCAATCGATTCTCACTGATTACTGGAGAGTTTATTATTCGCGCTTGAAGGACATCGTGAAGCACGTGCGCATCTCTACCAATTATAATTAGACATCCCTCTATGGGAGATTTCAAAGTCATTGTACATATGTGGGTGCATAAGTATGTATTTGCGTTTTTTTTTTTTTGACACTCATCCTTTTGGCGTATTAATTTGTATTTATTACCTTACTTTTTTCAGTTCATCGAACTACTGCAAACTGATATAGCCATTCGAGCATTTTACTTGGAGTACCGTGTAGAGTACATTTAAAAGCTGCTACCTGGAATTTATACATATCAACTTGTACACGTGTAATTAGAGTGGTACAAAAATGCATGTGAAAAAGCAATGTCGGAATTTTAATGCCGCCACCCCCTAGGATTGTTCTATACCGAAAAAAATATACCTATATTTTTATTGATTTTTAAACCATTTTATCATGGTAACTATATTTTATGGGTCCGCCAAAATCCCCGGGAAATGCAATGGCGGACCAATAAAAAATCTTCAGCATTAAAAAATGGTTAAATAAACAATTGCATATTAATATTGGAAATGGCTTGAAGAGAACCACAATTTTCCGGTCGAAAAATATTAATTTTCCAGTATTCTACACCACTTCTTTGAAAAGTAGGTTTTTCCCCATATGAAATATGTATATGGAAAACTTTGAGCACTTTGAACAGTCCCCAATATTCTTTTATTTCAAAATAAAAAATAGGGGTATATTTTTTTGCTATAGAAAAATCTAGGGGGTGATGGCGGCATTAAAATTCCGACTTTACTGTTTTTGGTCCACTCTAGCGTACATATCTGCATGAATGTGTGTATGCATGTGTATTTATACACGAACTTAAGACCCACGCGGCAGCATAATGGCCTCATTCGCAGGCACTTACGTGAAACTACTACAATTTCTCTTCTTGCTTGCACTCCAGGCGCAACCGTAGCCTCCATCGCCAATGTTGCAGCAAAATCTGAAGTGCTTCTAGGTTTTTTTTCATCTTTTTCACTTCACAATTTATTTTTGTAGATGTTGAACTTGAAAATTTTTAGCCCGCGCCTGCTCTAGCATTTATTTTAAAACTTATTTTATATTCCTAGGGAAATTGATTTTAAATTCGATGCTGCATACTTTGAGTGCTTTAAGTGCTGGCAACTGTAAAATTACGTATGTTTATGCGCACGAAAGTACATTAATTGATTGGTTTCTTTCATGTACATATGTATGTATGTTTGTAAGTACAAGGAGAATGCCCAAATTGAGGTGGAACTAATGTTTTTTTTGTTACATATTTTCTATAAACAATCAGCTGCTACTTTTCTCTTGGCTGTTTTTTATGGAAGTGTTTAATGCTAAGGAAGCACTTATAAACAAATTGACGCCAACATAGTGGATAGTTGTTGAACCCCTGGCCTACAGTTAATTGCATCTCTTTTGAACAAAGTGTTTTTAATTGCTCTTTGCTATGTGCAGCTCAAAAGGTTGATCCCAATTTGTTACTCCTAAGTTAAGGATAAAAATAGAATAAGACAATTGCGATATATGTACATAAACACTCAGTAGTTAGTGGGCTTATTTATTAGTATTTTTTTAATCAGTAATCTCTGTTGTTTATAAGAGCCTAACCGAGCAGGGCGAAGAGGTGGTGCAGACATGTTTGTATGTTAGGGTGAGTTGGTGTAGTATTTATGGAGGAAAGTAAAAACTATTTGATTATATTGTAATAAACCTTAGCTCTAAACCTGCGATGTCCACATCAAGGCTCATAAGACCAGCTCGTTAGGTACAAAAAATTTGAAAAAAAAATATTGGCTTTTTAGTGAGTGTCAGACTTACAGTTATGAGTGACAGTTTCGCTCAAATTTCTCTTGCCCAACTTAAAATATAGGATAGATTTAATCTCGATTAGACGAGGGGCGTGGCACCTTCTATACAAACGGAATATTTCATACTGCATTTCTCGGGAAATATTTTTGATAGATTACTGGAACTTGGTATGGAGGTAT